CCCCCTGGGGGGTAATTTCTCGCTTTCTGTCTCTGTCTGTCTCTGTCTTTCTGGTGAGTGCACACACCCTATAGCGAAAACCTCCCCCCTCCCCCCAAAACAAAACAAAACAAAACAAAGACGGAGAGATGGGGTGAGGAGGGAAGAAAGCACCCCTCAGTAAGGCATGATAACGCCACAATTCTTTCTCCTCCATTTTCCCATCCAGTTGGGATTTTGAGTAAGCATGCATGCATAGTGAATACTTCAAGCTGTCAGGGTTGGGATTCAAACCTCCATTAGCCATGTGGGATCCAGCTCTCTTAACCACCAGGCTACAGAGCCAGCCCATTTCTTAGGACTATTAAAAGTTGATTTCTAACAAATATCTTTCAAAGGCAAAATTCACCCCATTACAGTTGACCCAGCAGTTCAATGACAGTGTAAAAGTCCATAGTCTTACTGGTAAAAATAATATAGTGTCCCAAACCTGTGTTCCCGGTTAAGAGCAATGTGTCATCTCATTTTTACCTCTACTTCAATCTTTCAGTACTTCTCTACCTGCTCAATTCATGATTTCAGAACTCAATTAGTACATTTTCATTCCTCCTAACTGCCCAACAGCACAGAGTGCTGGACTTCAAGTGTCTGTTCTCCTTCTGTTTTCAAACGGAAACATTTTCCGTGTGTCTACATGTTCTGAAAGGGGAAATTTTCAGAAGTGGTCATGTCTTCAAAACAGTCTGATACCACCAAGCCTCTGAGGCAAAGGAATCAAGAAGAGAAAGGAGTCGAAACATAAGGTTCATTTAGTAAAATTGACATGAACTGTTAAAAGCTGGATGGTATGAGTGTGGCCTTCTGGGGGGACTTTTACTGGGGGGGGCGAAAATGTCTGGGGCTTAGTGTGGAAACAAATCCTTGGCTATCCAGCCATAGCTTTCTCACAGTAGGGCTGTCAGGGAGTCCACTGAGGAGCATGGTTTGTTGACCCACCAGAGTGAACTTCCAGGCGCTTGGTTTGTCTTAGGCCTGTTCAAAATGCCTAAGTCTGTGCCAGCCCATTTTTCATTTTAGAGAAAACCAGCTAGTGATTAGTCTCAGCGTGATTGATCCCAGTTGGACATTGCCAATCCCTTGTCCCTTGGTCACTTGTTGCCTGACTAGGAGGTTTCCCTCTTGTGTATGTTACCGCCATTTTTCTCACTCTCCCCAGGCATTATATGGGTAGAGTTGGAATCTGTATGCATCAGGGCCAGCTCCATGACCTGGTGGTTAAGACTGGAAATTCCCACATGGCCACTCCCTCGTTTCAAACCTTAGACACAGTGGCTTAAGAAACACGTTGGACAAGGGTGCATGCCCAAAATTCTGAAAGGAGGGGGAAATAGACGAAAAGAGAATGTGGGACATGACCATTTCCCATGGGGAGTGCTTTCTCCTCTCTTACTCTCTATCTCTCTGGTAAGTTCATGTACCTTCTAACAAAACAAAACAAAAGATAAAACAAACAAACAAAGCATTAAATATATACATCAAAGAAATTAAGCAATAAAATGAAAATAATAAAAAATAGTAATGGAGCCAGCCTATGCTGTGGTGAGTAAGGTGGCTGAATCACACATGGCTGACTTTACAGTTCAAGTCCCACACCTG